ACTACAAACGAGCAGAAGGAGAGCCTGACGTTATGATGCCGCATGCAGATCCTTTTGTGACAACAGTCCATATAGGCAACCATAATGTCAACAAAGTCTTTGTGGACACGGGTAGCTCGTCGGATATCCTGTATTGGAGTTGTTTTCAGAAAATGCAGCTGAATCCGAACTCACTGCAGAAACACGAAGGGCCTATATATGGGTTCGACAATCAGCCCGTCCCGGTTGAGGGAACCATTACCCTTCCCATCTATGTGGGCTCAGAGCCACGGTTTAGGATGGCTTCCTTTACCTTCCTGGTCGTCAAGATGGAGTCGGCTTTCAACGCTATGCTGGGGAGAGCCACCCTTTGCGAACTGAAGGCGGTAATCTCACAACCTCATCTCTGCATGAAATTCCCAACTCCTCAGGGGGTAGGAGTGCTCAAAGGGAACCAGAAGATGGCAAGAACATGCTACCAAGATACCTTCAAGAAGGTTGAGCTCGCTGCTTCTCCTACAGGCTCTGAAAATCACAAGCCAACCCGGTTTGCTCAGCAGGCAATGAGCATTTCAGACATTGAACACCGACCTGAGGGTGTCGAGCAGAAAGCAAAACCAGTAGAGCCGGTAGAAACGGTCCCTCTGAACCCTGCTATGCCAGAGAGAACGGTTAAGATTGGCACTAAACTCACAGAGGAAGAACGGGCAGAGCTCCTGAAGTTTTTGAGGGACAATCAAGACGTGTTTGCGTGGACTACGGACGAAATGCCGGGCATCCCCGCAGAGTTGACAGTCCACAAGCTAAGCACGGACCCCACTAAACGGCCAGTGGTGCAAAAACATCGCCTTTTTGGCCCGAGAAACAAGCTGCCATTGATGAAGAGATACAAAAGCTGCTACAGGTAGGTTTCATCAGGAGAGTGGAGTACTCCGAATGGGTGTCCAACCCAGTGCTCGTCAAAAAGCCGAACGGCAAGTGGAGGATGTGTATTGATTTCACCAACCTCAATGACGCATGTCCAAAAGACCCTCATCCGTTGCCAAATGTCGAGAAGTTGGTAGAACGGGCAGCTGGGCACGAACGGATGAGTTTTCTGGACGCCAGCTCCAGTTACCACCAGGTCTAGCTGTTGTTAGACGACCAAGAAAAAACAGCTTTTTATGCTGGGGACGCAATATACTGCTATGTCATGATGCCGTTTGGCCTAAAAAATGCTGGAGCAACATACCAGAAGCTGGTGCAAATCATCTTTAAGCTGCAGATTGGCCGAAACATAGAAGTGTATATAGATGACATGATAGTCACCAGCGTGCGAGCAGAGGATCACATTGACGACCTGGATGAAACATTTCAAAACTTGCGTCGAGCTCAAAAGAAACTGAATCCCTCGAAATGCACGTTCGCTGTGGAATCAGGGAAATTCCTAGGGTACGTAGTATCCAAGAAAGGAATCAAGGTAAATCCAGAGAAGGTACAAGTCGTTCAGCAGATGGAACCTCCCAAGACAGTAAAAGATGTACAACGTCTGACAGGGCGGGTGGCTGCATTGCACAGATTTATAGCCAGATCGGCAGAAAGGTGCCTTCCGTTCTTCAAAGGTCTACGGGAGCCTAAAAACTTTCAGTGGACTGTTGAGTGTCAACAGGCGTTTGACGAGCTCAAACAGTATTTGGCATCCACACCCCTGCTGTTCAAGCCTGTCAATGAAGAATGTCTATATCTTTATCTGGGGGTCACAGAAGAAGCGGTGAGTTCAGTGCTGCTAAGGGAAGAGAATAAGAGTCAGAAGCCTGTCTGCTATGTCAGCAAGGTATTACAAGGTGCCGAGCAAAACTACCCGCTAGTAGAAAAGGCTGCTTTTGCTTTGGTCTGCACGGCTCGTAAGCTGAGAGCTTATTTTCAGTCTCATCAGATCGTTGTCTATACCGATTTACCACTGAGAAAAATATTGCAGAAACCTGAACTCTCTGGTCGTCTTATTGGATGGAGCGTCGAGCTGAGTGAATATGACCTGAAATTTCGGCCGCGCACAACCATAAAAAGCCAGGCCGTTGCGGACTTTCTGGTGGAGTGCACCTCAATAACTAACAAAGAAAAAACACCTGAACACCCAGTCTGGGTTTTATATGTTGATGGAGCAGCTAACATTGAAGGGTCGGGTGCTGGGGCTGTGTTACTTGGCCCAGATGGCTTTAAGTCTGAGCACGCACTGAGGTTTAAGTTTCAGACGACAAATAACGCTGCAGAATATGAAGCCCTCATTTACGGACTAAAGCTGGCGTCCAAGCTGAAAGTAAAAAACAATCAGGTTTTTAGTGACTCACAGCTTGTAGTGGGCCAAGTGAATGGCAGTTGCGACATCAGGGATCCCCAGCTCAGTCGTTATGCCTCTGTGGTCAACAGATTGAAATCGATATTTGCCCTTTTCCAAATTGATAAAATACCAAGAGCAGACAACCACCGAGCTGACGAGCTGTCAAAGTTGGCCTCCTCGCAGGACATTAATCCTCAGATATCAACAATTGTCGAGGTACTCGACGCACCGAGCTACACTGATTTCACAGTCGAATGTCAACTGCTAAGTACAGATCCCTCTACACCAAGCTAGACCACCCCGCTCGTAAATTATCTACAAAGTGGCGAGCTACCTGAAGACCAGTCCGCTGCAAAAGTGATTAAACGCAGGGCGGCACATTTCACTGTGTTAGATAACCAGCTCTACAAGCGAGCAACCTCAATGCCCCTATTACGCTGCCTTACTCCGTACGAAGCTAAATACGCCGTGAGAGAAGTTCACGAAGGAGTATGTGGCACGCATATCGGTGGCAGAACTTTAGCTTGGAAACTCCTAAGGCACAGTTATTACTGGCCCACTATGGTCGAGGATGCACAGAACTACGTCAAAAAGTGCCCGACCTGCCAGTTCAATGCCGACGATATTCATATGCCAGGTATCCGAGCTCGTTCTAAAGTTTATGCAAACTTAGTGACTATCTATGAACTGAGCGTAAGTATCTTTGTTAAAATAGGACATATGCTCTCATCACTTACGTCTCGTTGGCCCTTTACTTAATGGGGTGTTGACCTGCTCGGCCCTTTCATCAAAGGCAAAGGAGGCTGCACTTTCCTGGTCGTTGCAGTGGATTACTTCACTAAGTGGATAGAAGCCAAACCACTGTCCACGACAACAGAAAGAAAAATAGAAGAATTCTTGTTAATTCAATTTTGTGCAGGTATTCTTTGGTGACCGAGGTCATAAATAAAATATATGCAAACGTGATTTGTAGCTCAGCTCACTCATCTGTGTGCAGATTCGGCATACCTAGGCAGATTATCGCCGACAATGGGCCACAGTTCCGAGCAGCAGCACTGAGATCGTTTTGTAACCAATATGGCATTGAGCTCGCTTTGACATCCGTGTACACTCCACAGTCCAATGGGCAAGCCGAGTCCGCCAATAAAATCGTCTTACGAGGACTCAAGATGCGCGTCTTGGCTGCACAAACTAATTGGGTTGACGAGCTCAATAAAGTGCTGTGGTCATGTCGTACTACACCTAGCTCGGCCACAGGCGAAACCCCATTCAGTTTGGCATACGGAGCTGAGGCTGTTATCCCCGTCGAGGTCGGACTGCCATCCGATAGATCAGATTGTCATGACGATCAGAATAATGAACAGCTCTTAAGAGAAAACCTAGACTTTGTAGAAGAAATCAGGGAGATGTCCCGAATAAGAAACATGGCACATCAAAGTCGTGTTACAAAATTTTACAACAAAAGAGTTCGAGCTCGCCAGTTTTAAGTCGACGACCTGGTCCTACGCAAAGCTGGGTTAACTAACACCCATTCGCACATGGGCAAGCTCGCTCCTAATTGGGAAGGTCCCTATCTAGTTGTTCAAGTTAAACGACCTGGTTCTTACATGTTAGCAGATATACACGGGCGTCAGTTATCTTACCTTTGGAACGTGCAGAATCTTAGAAAGTTTTACAGTTAACGTGTGTAATATTATTTTGCTTCAGGTGTATCCAACAGTTGTAAGCAAAGATATACAAAAATTGCAACAAAAGTTCGAAGGAAAATTCATTTTTGTATTTCATCAACGATGTTACATTAGAAGTACAAATGATATGGATCTATTGATCAAATACAAAAATGCCAAAACAAAAATACAAAAGAATGAAACAAAAACTCCTAAAACTAATCGTCCGTTAAATCAACGGGCATGGACGCGTCAGCTGCGGGCAGAGGGGAGCGAGCTACAGGCGAACGAGCAGCGGGCTCGGGAGCTGGCGCATTGACAGGAGAGCTCACTGGTACTCGGGCGGGCTGAGAGCTGGGTGGAGTGCTTGAGGGTTCCTGCTCAGCTACAGGAGCACTCTCTACCCATGCGTCGAATGAGGGCAGCCCTACTGGATCCTCCCCGTCCTCCAGTACGCTAGCGGCCAGACGGGCACGCCCTCCTCGTTCAAGTCCCATCTCAGCCTTACAGTTGTGTCAGCAAGGGGAGCAAGGCTCTTACCATGTTCGTCAAGCTCCTCCTCGTCAAAGAACACTAGCTCGCGGATTGGAAAATCTGGGCGGTGGTGCAGCACCTTCCCACGAATCTCGTTGTAGATCTCCGTGGTTACGTTTGCAGACGCCACCGCCACTGCGTCTTGGAACGTGGACGAACCGACCAGCCATTCTGCTCCTTGGGCTCAGGCAATACCAACAGAGCGCGCATGAGATGCCTTCAGATCGTTCAACGCCTCCTCGGTAGCACTGAGGTTCTTGTCAGCCTCAGTGATCTGGAACTTTAAGGAACCCAGCTCGGTTTGAGCACGGTCCCTCTCGCCCTCAGCCCTCTTAGCCCGCTCTTCAACTCGAGCGACCTCGTCCTTTGACGCTTGAATCCCGCTTTCTTTTTGGGCACGGACTCGCTCTAGCTCCTCCTTGAGCTCGTTGATCCTATGGGCGAGCTCGTCCGCCCGGCTCTCTGCAATCGCAGCTCGGTTTGCCATTTCGGCGCCTTGCAGACGATTCACATCGTCCACAAGGCTAGCCTTTTCCGCGGCCAGCTGTTTACACTTGGAACCGAGCTCGCTGTTCTTTGTATGAGCCCCATGCTCGCTCTCGTACAGTGCTACAGCGTAGCTGAATGCCTGCCAGATAACGACACTCGTAAGTACCTAGTAAAGAAAAGTAAAACACTTATGTACGGACAAATACTTACATCCATTAGCTTGATCATGGCGACCTGCCCGCCATGCTGCTGCACAAATGCTTTTGCCCGCTTACTGTCTGCGGGGGGCACAAAGCCGTGCATGGCTTGCACCATGGCAAGCTAGCACTCCGCCCGCACATAGGTGAAGCCCTCAGGATAAGCGATCTTGGGGTCCGACGTTGAAGCTGAGACAGAGGCGGGCTCTACTACTGCCCGCGTAGTCGCTGGCGGCGCAGCGGGTGAGCGCACGGTTGTAGGACG